TGCAATGCACAACAGGAGAACCATTCATCTTTTTTATTGATAATGCAAACAAGAAATCCAATCAAATGAATCTTGGTATAGCAACAACCACCAATCTATGTATTGAGATTATTGAACGGACAAATGGTATTTCTGTTTGCAATCTATGAGCAGTGATCCTTCCAACACATATTTTAAAAGAAAATAAATTAGATTTTATAGAATTACAAAATTCAGTGTGTCTTCTTGTAAACTCTTGTGATAGAGCAATTAATCTTACATATTATCTACTAGATGAATGTGAAGCTATAAACAAGAATGACCGCCCAATTGCTATTGGAGTGATTGGTTTGGCAACTCTTTACAAGAAATTCAAATTATTATGGGAAGACAATGAAGCATATGAACTTAACAAACAAATCTTTGCACATATTTATTATGCAGCATTAGAAGAATCATGTGAATTAGCAAAAAAATATGGTCCATATAAAGGATATGAAAGTTCACCTATTTTAAAAGAAATCTTGCAATTTGATTTATGGAATGCTGCTCCTTGTGATGAACTTGATTGGAAAGGATTAAAAACAAAGATTCAAAAATATGGTATCAGAAACTCATTACTGATTGGTCTGATGCCAACAGCTTCAACATCTCAATGTATTGGTACAGGATTCAGTGAAGGCCCATTTCCAGAAGAAGCAAATTTTGTTATTTGTGAAATTACAAAAGGAGCCTTCATTTATATCGAACATGAGTTAGCAGAGATGTTAATCTCGCACAATCTTTGGTCAAATGATATTCTTGATAAGATTCAAATGAACAATGGCAGTGTTCAAAACATAGACCAATTTCCAGAAGAAATAAAAAAGGTATACAAGATAGCATTTAAATATTCATACAATGTAATAATCAATCATGCATCTGATCATGGAATATATATCGACCAATCACAAAGTCTAAACATTTATATTATCTCCAATGATCCTGAAATAATGATTCAACATCTTTTTAATTCAATAGTCAGAGCATGGAAGAATGGATTGAAAACTGTTTATTATATTAGATCTATGTCACTCTCTCGCCCTCTAGATATAAATTCTAATAAACCCAAATGTACTGCTACTATATGTGAACCATGTGCTGTATAATCTTGGTTTTTATTGCATATATTAAAATAGAATAGATTTGTATGTCTTAAAACAAAATTTTATTTTTTAGTTAAAATTTCTAGAATTAAATTATTTTGATTTTTAATATCATCAAATTTTCTGTTATTTTCTTCAATTTCTTTTCTAATTTCTCTAATTTCTTTTTCTAATTCTTTATTGATGTTTTCTAATTTTTCATTGTATTTTTTCAATATTCTATTTTCTATTTCATATTCTAAACATTTATTTTTTTCTTGTTCTATTTTAATCTTATTATTTACAAGTATATTTTTATATTCATAAACTTTTGGAATAAAATCTTTGATTAAACAAACACAGATTTTGTTTTTATCACCTGTATAATTTTCTAATTCATTAATTGCATAATTACTTAATTCAATATTAGAAATAAAAAATGCAACATGATAATTTGTTTTTCTTTTTGCTGTGTTCAAAAATTCTCTAACTTCAGATACTTGAATTTTGATATTTCCACTTCTGTATTTACATTGAGCGAACTAATGTAAATGCTTGTATTGACCTAATTAAAAAAAAAATGTTAGTATATCATTTTCCTAAAACCTCAAGAATAGTATTATAGGCAATTCAAACAAGTTGAGCCTCATAGAATTTACACTATGAATAGACACCACCAGTCTGTTTGCTTACTCAACTATAATAACTATATTTCTATATTTAGTTTATATTTATTAAATTTACAGGTGATTCAAACAAGTTATGCTGATGGAATTTACACCAAATGACACCACCAGTCTGTTTGCTCACTCAACTGTAAAAGTGGATCAATACTAAGTAAACGATTGCTTACCATGAAGATCTGCACATCCATCAGATAATTTTTTATAAATTTCTTTAGAAAAAGAAATGAAAGTTTGGTTCATTTCAATGATCATTCCATTATGACTTGCTAGTTCATAAAGAAAATATTCAAAAACTTTGCCTTTGAGTCTTTTTTCATGATCATTTTTTGCAGGTTTATCAAAATCTTTAAAATTGATTTTTAATAAATCATGAACAAAATTTTCGAATGTTTTATTGATTCCAGGATATACAAATGACATTTTGATAGAAAAAATCTAAAAAGTTATAATATTTATATATTTTTTTATAATAAAGTTCATTAATATATACATGATTTATCAATAGTATTAATCAGACGATCTTATTCGAACCAAACTTTCTATTATTATTTTTGTACTACTCTTTGCATTTATAAATAAACTTACATTTTCTGAAGTTTGAATATTAAAAAAAAATGTCTAAACGAGAAGAACTTTCTAATGATAATGAAATTTTTTTTAAAGAAATTCCTGAATTCAAAAATGAATATGATACAGTTCGAAAAGAAAAAGAGCACAAACAATTTGGTTTTGTTTATGTACTTCTTTATGATAAATAAATGAATACTTTTATTTTTGAATTAAGAGGAACAAGCAATTCTCAGTATAAAGAAAAAGCTTCTCTAATTAGAAGAAAACGTGAAAGATACTTAGTGATCACAAGAAAAGTTATGAATGAATTGAATGAAATAAAATCTTTCAAGAAGATTCTACTTGAAATTGATAGAAATAACATCAGTAATGCATTAAACTCTCATGATGGTTTTAATAATGATGTTTCAATTAAATTAACAAATTGGAAAACCCCAAAGAATAACAATAAAGAATCAGATAAAATCTTTGTAACTGAAAATAAATATGAAATGAATTACATTTAAAAAGATATATTCTCTACAATGCATCGTGAAGTTAAAAAAGAAACTGGATTTGATGTGAAAAAACATCCATGTGAAATCAAGTATTTCAGAATTGATAAAAAGATCTTTGAGTCTGACAGAATAGTCACTCATGTGTATCTTATCATCTTTGACAGTTACAATTTTATTCCATATTCTAATGAAAAGAAAAAAAAAATTCATTGATTGGCATGACTCCTTCTGAAATCATGAAACAAATTAATGAAGATAAAGACAAACCAAAGAATGAAATGTTTTTTACTCTAATGATTTTTAATGTTTTTGAAGAAGTTAGAAAACACTGTAAACCACTTCAACAAGAGATTATTCTTTTTGGTGGACTGAATGCAGGATTATCAGAAGGTGTTAAGAGACTTGTAAAACTTTTTTCTCATGTTGGTTTAGAAGTATCCAGTACCTTAACATTACCAGAATCATATCATGAAAAAAAACTTCTAAATCAAGAACATCCATCGATCAGAGATTTGTACCCAGGATACTTTGATGCAAGTGAAAAAAAACAAAGTGATCCAACAAACTAGAGCATTAATAGCATATACTTTGATTGGTAAACTCTTACATGATGAAACTGAACCTGATGTTGGTAATGTGCCAATAATCATTCTTGAAAGAAGCCAACAATGTGTAAACATTTTAAATGAAGCATTTGATGTTCCACGATTCCCACTTAATGTCATCTTAAAATCACAAGATTTAAATCATTTGGATATTTTTGTATTAATTAAAGATAAAAAATATGCATATAAGGAGACTGTCAAACGTAAACCATTTTTAGATGCTGACCAAACAGCATACCAAGAACTGTATGATGTTTATGAAAGGGTAGCATATCTTGAATATTCTAAACAAGTAGTAGTTGAAAATGATTATGGAAAAGAATATGATGAATTTTTTACTGATGGATTACTGAATGCAGTACTAAATCATATAACTTTTTGTAAATTATTTCACTTTGCAAAAAGTTACTATCTTAATCTTGCATATGAAACTCCAGAATTATTAGATGTTAGAGATAATATATCTACTTAGAAAATTTATTTTATTATTTTATTTTGTAAACTTTATATTTTATTATTTTACGATAAATATCAAATAAATAAAAAATTATCAAACTTTATTGGAATATAATATACTTTGCTATGTTAATAATGGTTTTTCT